ATGTGTGAGTAGGTACAACACATACAGTACAGAAACATACACACTAGAGATGGGCATGAACTGCAGTTCGGAGGTACATTCCACTTCATTGGTGTGGCACCAATTTCATATGCCTTTCTTTGAGTTAGGCAAGCTGAGAAAGAAAGTTGTATTGGACCAAAATCTGTACAGATGTGTTGTTTACATGTTTTCCAAAATATATCCCTTCGCTTTTTTGAAATTGGAAAAAAAAGAGGTTGAAGTTAGCAAAGAATCTCACTGGAAAGCAATGTCAAAATCATGCATACTATGTGAAAGGAAGAAAATGAAGAAAGATGGGGGTATTCAAATACAGTACAGTAATTTGAAATGTGGTGTTGCTAGAGATTCTAAAGATAGCCAGAAAAACTGAAAAGTGGGTGCTGAATCAAGTCAAGCCTGAACTCTCATGCTAAAATGAGTAACCCGAGTCTATTGTACCATGCACACATAATAGAAATATGGCCATTCTAAATGACTGACCTATTTGCATAGCATTACATTCTGACCAATCACAATGTGTCTGGTTATGTTTTCTGTGTATTAATCTAGGAGCACAAATGGGGCTTATGGCTGGACAGTGACACCATTGGGGATGATCCTACATAAAAATCATGTGGATCCATCAGGGTCTGTGGATCAGATCCATATTTTTGCACCACTACAAAGCCATGCGCTCAAGGATCCATGATTTATGTGGTGTTGTCTGTGGGCACAGACAGGCCCTGACTGGATAGTTGTTTGGGGATGATACTACATAAAAAACATATGGGTCCATGTTTTTACACCATTATAAGGCCATGAGCTGGGAGACCCATGATTTCTAGGGTATAACCTATGGGCACAACTGGGGCCTATGAGTGGACAGTAGTTTGGGAATGATCCTGCAAATCATGTGGATCCATGAGCATCTCTGATTTATATTGGTGTTCTGTGTCACTGCAAAGTCATGCACTGGGAGACCCATAATTTCTGTCTTGTAGTCTGTGGGCAGAGGTGGGTAAAACAATGTTACTTAAAAAAAAAAAAACTTTTGCCCAAATATCCCCAAATTTGGCACAGAGCAAGAGCAGACTTTCTGCTACATCTGTGCCAAATTTGGTGCTGAGACTTTACGCCAGTTAAACTAAGGGTGAGGTAAATCTAACTAAACACTAACTATGCCATAAGGAATGGTGTAAATGAGAGAGACTTGTAAGTTTAAAATACTAATGTGCTCTATGGATCTCTGTCCAAATTTCCACACTGCATAAGGTAAAGGTAAAGGTTCCCCTTGACAATTTTTGTCCAGTCGTGTCCGACTCTAGGGGGTGGCGCTCATCCCGCTCTTCAAGCCATAGAGCTAGCGTTTTGTCCGAAGACAATCTTTCCATGGTCACATGGCCAGTGTGATTTAGACACGGACGCTGTTTACCTTCCCACTGAGGTAGTACCTATTTCTCTACTTGCATTTGCATGCTTTCGAACCACATAGCTGTGGAAATTTCATTTTTCATTTTAAACCAGCGTACCCACATACTCTGCCCAAATTAAAATTACCTATCAACTTGCCTCCAAAAATTCTTTCAAATGCCCTTAAAAACAAAAATGGCAAACTAACAAGCAAACAGTACCAATTACACCCAAAGGTTGCATTCTAACTACTTGCCTCTATATTTAATATAATTAAAGGAACTGAGAAAAGCCTACAACATACTCCTTTAGAATGCTCTTGAACCACCTTTTGCTATTACAGAAATGTGCAATAGCGCAGTGTTGTTGAAATGCTATTACACCATCCTCAGATCTACTTGGTTGTAACACTGACGTAGCTCTGCAGCTCCTGATGATTCTATCAAAGCAACTGCAAAACTAGCCTGCTCAAGTTAACTATAAGTCATCAGCCAAAGTGTGCTGAACTGACTTTGGTTGACTCACCTTCTGTCCTTCAGAGGTTGGTAAAATGAGCACCCAGCTAGCGGGGGGGGGGAGGGAGCAATGTGTAACCTGCATGATTAACTTGTAAACCACCTAGAGAGTGCTTGAAGCACTATGGGGACGTATATAAGCAGCATACTTGGATTTTTAAAAAAAACTGTTATGGTATTTATTGGTCTGTAAGTAATTACAGGTGTTTATTGGTCTGTAACAGGTCAGGATGTGTCCACAATACTCAGAGAAATTACTTTCTGCTATTGAAAGGTATCTTCTTGATTAGAATATAGAAACAGCCTCCCCCTCCCCTAAATATTGCAGCTGGAGGTAGTGAAGTTCTTCTGACAAAAGCTATCCTCCTGAATCTTCAGCAACAAATGAATACCTGCACATGATTTATATTATTAATTTGTTGTTACATGCTGTGCAGTCACTTATGACTTATAGTGACCTTATGAACTAATAATCTTCTGAAGATCCTGTCACTAATAGCCTGCTTGGAACTTGAAAACTGAAGGTGGCAGATACCATTATTAAATCAATCTCATTTTCAATGTCCGTCTTCTCCTACCGCCTTTTACTTTTGCCATCATTGTTGCCTAACATTATTAACCTATCACAGGGAAAATCTCAATACAAAACACAAGTAGGTAGAATTAGATATTATCCCAAATATTGTTCTTTTATAGACAACAGCAATCCAACTCATCATGTTATCCTCCTTTCTCTTGTAATGAAGATCATGTGGAAACAACATCATGTGATGTCATCATGATACACACATCCCTAATCTTCTTCCTCTGAGCCAAACATACAGAACAGAGTAAGGAAGCCCTCTGCGTGATTCCCATGAACACAAATTACGGGAAAGGGGATACTTTATTTTTATCTGCACATACCCTACAAGTTCTGCCTGGTTCAAGAATTAGCTGCACTAATAAAAAAGGAGAGCAACAGCACATTTGAACTGTTGTAAAACATGGTCTTACCAGTTGGTAATTAAGTATACAGTGAAACAATACCAGTTCAAACTAGAATTGCAACTGGTTTCCAAGTAAACTGTAATGCAGAAAATATTGTTTGCTATTTAACTGGAGCACAGAATGAATGAATGATCACTTCAAGATCGAAAAGTATGTCTATAAGTGCGAAGGAATGCAAAACAGAACCTTAGTTCCTATGTTCACAAAATTGTCCTGATCATGGAAGGGTGATGCTGACAGAGGGCTTTGTTTCCTTAAACAGGATTAAAATTTAATTGATAGTGTCATAATACAGTAAACTCTGGTTTATGGAAATTTATTTTATGAAACATCGTTTTGCAGAATCCTAAAAAGAATCAATAGAACTACTTAGAAGCAAGTGAAATGTCCAAAGAAAAATGTTATGGCATTTCATGCTATGCATTTCCATACAAACTACTATCCCAAGTTAGACAGAGAAGCTGTCTGCATTGCAAACAACGATCAATATATACAAGTAAAAATCAATTTATAATTGACCTCGATTTACCAGGCTTTATCTTCACTACTTTTCCCTCACAGCAATTCTTAATCCTCCTCTTAAAACAACTGTTCTCAGTGTTTACTGATGGATAGAAATAATTACTCCAGTTTACATCTGCAGTAAAACTTTAGACCCTACTGCAAAGCCTGAACCCGCACTCACTGCTCATTTCAGCATTAGAGACAGTACAGTATGCTTGGATAAAGAACCAGTAAGCATAAACCTTTGAGTCTACAGTGTTCTTTCACTGACACTGACTCACATTTTGGCATTAAAGAAATAAGCTTATTAAGTAATTGTCCCAAACCACAAACTCTCAGTAATTACACACTGCATTTAAGTCATTTGCCAATACAGATATAGATACTTTTTGGAGAGCGGGGGTGGGAATGGGAAGAAGACAGAGCATAAATATTAGATCACTTAGCATGAAACCTGTTACTGCTTTCACAGACAGAGGACCAAAAACTTACAAAAATGAAAGTTTAAATATTCCAGTAGAGCAGAATAAAGTAAAGGCTGAGCTCGTAAAGAGAGTCAGTTATTTAAGTGCCTTTGCACTGAAATAACTGTGCAGCTTTCACATTATATATAACGGGGATCCCCAACCTTTTTCACCCCGCGGACCAGCTGGGGCAGGCGAGACACCCCCTGCGCTCATGTGCATGTGCGAACAAGCACACACTCATGTGCATGCACAAATAGCAGCGCGGCGCTTGTGCGGGTGCTTCTGCACATACGGCGGCATGGCGCTCATATGGGCATGCTGGAGCGTGTGTGCATGTGCAAATCAGCTGTGCAGGGGTGAGTGCAAGCAGGGGGTGGGGCGGGAGGTCTATCTCTGTGGCCCGGTCCAGCTCAGGCCACGGACCGCCACTGGGCCACGGACCAGGCACTGGGGACCTCTGATATATAAGATACCCCCCATAACTCCATATGCATGTTCTATCTCTTCCTCTCTTTCACTTTGTAACAGTAGAACCTATTTACGGTATGCCAATATTACCCTCATTATTTTAGATTCTTTTATGAGCACCAAATTTAAAAGTGAGTTATGTCTGGTATTTAATTAACATGAACCATGTAAAATTCCATCATTAACCACAGTTCTTCCTGAAAACTCACTGAAACAAAGATAAGCTACAATCCATAATAAGTTGCAACTAGAGTAGGCCCATTAATCAAAGCAACTTACACATGTATTAGCTCACTCAGCAGTTATTGAAGTCTCAGTAAATAGTGGGTTGCACTATCTTTGTGGTGAGCAGCACAAAAATAATTGTGTTCTCCTTAAGGCAAGCAAATATGTTTGACTGGAAGCTTTCATGGACTACAATCCACTTCTTCTGACATGTCAAACAAACAACTGTTCAAAACAAACTGAGGAATGAGGCAGTCAATTCACACAACAAAGGTATGGCTGCTTTAGTCTGCCTCTCACAGATTGTGTGAGGGCTAGCATTATTCCTTGGTTTTCCTACATGGAGACAGACCAATAGCATAATTTCAATTCACAAGGCATATTTGCTTAAAATACAAAATCAGGCAAAGAGAATGTTTACCTCTCTGGGCGATACTGGTGTGCATGTGGTCTTTGAAGATCCCAGCGCTGACATTCCTTGCCGGTTTCTGTGTGGTCCATTGGGCCTCTATAGTCTTCACCATTGCATGTCATGCATTCAACTAAAAATGCAAAACAGTGCCTGTTTTGTTGGGATGGTAACTTAACAGAATAATATTTAATGCCAGTATTACAGATAAAAACAAACAAAACCCACTTTTCTCCCACAAAATTAAACTACAGCAGGCACCAGAGTTTGCCAAACATGAAACTGGAGACACTTCCTTTTTTCCAAACATGCAAAGAATTCTGAGAAAAACTCAAAAGGGTTTCAGTAAGATGAGCAAAGAGTTATGCATACTCTAAATTACCACAAAGTTTAAATTACAAGCTTAAGTGAAGCTTAAAGCAAGCATGCAGCATACTTCAGTCATCATCAGAATGACAGTCCAAACACAGAAGAAACCAGTAGGCATAGATAAGGAATGTGTGGCCTTCCAGATGTTGCTAAATGGTATTTCACACCACCGGGCAGCATATCCAAGTCTAAGCAATTAGGGAAGCTACAATCTAACATCTGTAGGCCCACCCATTCTCCATCCATGCCTTATTGTCTGCTGAGACAATATTGAAGTTAAGTGTATAGCAGAAAAGCCTTTGCCATTTTCCTCCCCAAATACATCTAAACTGGCACACAACTTTCTTTATCTAGATAAATCTTAAGACTATTCTGAGCATCAGCACAAGTTTTAAATCCCAAACCCTTTGGAGTTCACTCTTATTACTGTATGAGGGTCATTCCTAATATGCATGTCCTCGTTTGCTTGCAGAAGAAAAAGCAAGAACAGGAAACATGGTGATATAACAGAGGCAGCAGCACCGGTTGCACAGCATATGGATAAAGAAGACAGTCTGAAGGAGCTTTGGAGAGGATTTTACTGCAAACAGAGCTGAACAGGAATTTGTAACTACGGATAGACAACAAAGCATTTGCGATATAATATTATTTTGTTCTTCTGAACTGTGTTCTGTTCTCTTACAACATAAACAGAGTATGCTGTAGCAGTGGATATTCCAAATGTTACCTTCTGAACAGAAAGGGATGTCACAAGCTTCATGCCGCACTTTTGGATCAACTGTGAAACACCAAGGTCCACCTTCTTCTCCTCTGGGGTTCCGGCAGTAGTTTTCCCGGAGATCTTTACCCCGATAGCTCGAAGGCAAAAAGCTAGTTTTAAAATGACAATCATTACAGTATAAGAGCATGCAAACACTGCATCGAACCTTTGTACCTTCATGAATAAGTTATCTGCCTTCTCCTTCAATATTATTTTAACATATAAAATGTTAATATTACATGCCTGTCTACTTCCATGTACAAATCAAAAACAATATTATTAATCAGTAGAAGGAAACAACAGATCACAGACATGTACTGTATATGCAAATATCCTGTTGGGAACTTACGCCTGCGCAAGATGAATCACATAGGTTGCTATGGCTAACTGACAAGCCAAGCAACGCTCGCAGTCATGAGCTCAATACATTGTCAATTAGCTGTCGCAAATTACATGATCCATCTTACACTTGAATAAAATCCCAACAGGATTTGGGCAAAGTTAATTTACCACCACCATCTGAATGTAATTTAATAAAATGTTTTATTGTATCATGCTGCATTTCAGTTATAATGTTCAATATAGGTTTTATTTTTTATATCATTTTGAAAAGTATGTTGGTATAATTTAATGTCATTTTATTTTAATTGTTGTCTATTGTTATATTCTGCTCACAACCTCCCAAAATGTGCCCTGACCAGATGGGCAGTATATAAATTAAATTACATTAAATTAAAAACAACAACAAAAACAACTGATGATGATGATAATGATGGTGATGGTGATGGTGATGGTGATGATGATGATGATGATGATGATGATGATGATGATGATGATGATGATGATGATGATAATAATAATAATAATAATA